TCCCTCTCCCTCTCCCTTCCTCTCTCTCTCCCTCCCTCTCTTCCTCCATCTCTATATCCCTCCCTCTACCTCTCCCTTCCTCTCTACCTCCCTCCCACTCTTCCTCCCTCCCTCTACCTCTCCCTTCCTCTCTCTCCCCCCCTGTCCTCCCTCCTTCTCGCTCTCCCTTCCTCTCTCTCTCTCTCTCCCTCCCACCCTCTCTAGCTCCCTCCCTCTCCCTCCCTCCTCCTCTCTCTCGCCAACCCTCTCACCATCCCTCCCTCCCCTTTCTCCTTCCCCCTTTCCCTCTCTCACCATCCCCCCTCTCCCCTCTCTCCCTCCCCCCTCTTTATTTCAGTGAAGGTACAAATTGGCCACATCCTTCAGCCCAGGAAATACCCCAAGGGTTCAAGTGATGCTCCTTTCAAGAACCTTTTTAAACAAAGCCATCTTTAACTCTTACCTTTCTCCCAGCCAGCCTCCCCTTGGCTTCATGGAGGAACAGTCTTCAATTCTTTCCCTAAAGCCTCTCTCAGCATTAACTGGAGCAGGAACTCTTCCCGGGGTCAGGGAGATGGGCTCTGAACCCAGACTGATGGCTTTGCCCGCTTAGGCATGGCCCTACTTCCTTGGCCCTGACCCTTCCTTTGGCCTGGGCAATGGGGGCCAGGAGAGCCACGGAGGCCCTTCCCTTTTCTCTACTGCTGCTGCCATTCCTTCCCGCTGCGGTGGTGGATTGGTCCCTTGTGCAATGCCTTGGAGTGGGCAGCTCATATGCCAGGGGTTCCTGACCCACCACCATCTGTGGGGACAGGCAGCCCATGAGAGGAAAGCAGGCTCCTTTTGCAAAGGCCTCCTGCAGAGCTGGTCAGGAGCGCCAAACGTTGGGGTTGAGCTCACCTGTCAAATGAACATCTGCATGGCTTCGTCTTCTGATCCATTATCTCAAAGATCCTCCAGTTCAATGAGCGTGTGGATCTCTCGGAGCTGCTAGTTTGCCAGGCTGGATCTACCCTGTTTCCCCGAAAAGACGAAAGTAAGACCTAGCTTGATTTTTTTGCACATGTGCCCAATATAAGCCCATACCCCCCAAAATAAGCCCTAATTAAGATCCCACCCACTCCAGGGCGCACAGGTAAAAATTAAGCTGGGGGGTGGTGGAGCTGCCCTTCTACTTACCTCTGGGCAGTTGTAGCCAGGCCTCGCACATCCCAACACCTGCCTTGCCCACCCATTTGTTCTTCAGCCAGCAAGGCTGCCAAGGCTCTCCTGAAGGCCTGTGGAGCTGATAACAAAACTCCGGATCGATCCAGAGCTCTCTTATCGGCTGCAGAGGCCTTCAGGAAAGCCTTGCCGGCTGCAGAAGAAGAAGTTCCTGAAGGCTTCTGACAGTGAAAAGGAGGCCAAGGGTGACGCACGCAAGTGAGGTTAGTTAGTGGATGACATCCCCTGAAAATAAGACTTGGTGCCTTTTTGGTGGCAAACAAAATACAGGACAGGGTCTTATTTTCAAGGAAACATGGTACTTAAACAGGACAAGCTGTTCACACCATGAATATGGAGGGATGGAAGAGCTAATTGGCAAAGCTCATTTCAGAAGCCCCCTCCCTGGTTTTTAAAGTTTTCCCTACATTTGTCAAAGCCCCCCCCCCACCCATCTGAATTAAATTCTTGCAAGCTAAAGTGTGTAGCATTTTTAGCTAAAATACTAAGGTCCCTCTGAATAATTTCCACAGCCAGTAGTAGAAAATGAGATGGATTTTGTATTAGGGAGAAGTGGATGCTGTGTTCTAAACAGAATCGAAACAGATAATTTACGTTTAAATAATATCAGAGCTTTTATTCTCCTGACTGGAACCGGTACAAACGTAAAGGTACTTCTCTCAAATGTCTTCTTTTTAAGGTCTCTAATTTCCACAAGTTTGACTTTATCAGAGCTCTTGGTTGGTTACGGACCACATATATGTGGAACAAAGAAAAACAAGGACTTTAGCTGTTAGCACAGTAGTTCATGGCTGTTCGTCAAGTTGTATTTTCTGTATGTATGTTTTATTTTTATTTTGTAGTGTGTGAGATGAATTACGTTATGTGGAGGTTCTTGTTTATCTGTTTTTTAAATAGTGTGTTTTTTAAAAAATAAATAAAGGATTTGTAGCAAAACAATAAAGGAAATGTCATCTGAGATTAATGCTCCCAAAATGAGTAGCAGAATTCATTTTAAACTTCAAAGCCCTCTGTTAACAATCTATTATTGTATTTAGCATGTAGAAAGTCCATAATGGTGTCTAAACTCCCATAAACCACCACCATAATTATCTCTGCTCCTTCCAAAATTTCCCCAACAATTGTATCTCGTTCCCCAAATCCTAAATTGTGCTGCCATGACTTTTGACTATAATTCTGGGCCCAGTCAAAATCTCCCGTCTTTCTTATTTTTATAAATAACCCAAGGCAGTGGACATGATCTAGTCCTTCTCCAATTTTCCTCATAACGGCAACCCATGAGGTGGATTGGACAAGGAGAGAGAGAGAGAGAGAGAGAGAGTGACTGACCCAAAGTTTCATGTCTCAGGTTGGACTTTCATCGTCTCTAGCATTGATGCCTTCACTACTAGACCAAACTGCCTCTGTTAGTTGTTAATCTATATATATAAAAACCAAGTACCGCTCACTCATCATGAAATCTCCAGAACCGTAAAGCCTACAAACTTGAAATTTGGCACGTATGTTTCTCTTGGCTTCTAGGTGGTCGCTAAGAAACGATTCTTTGAAATGATCATCAGATCATTACTATTTCTTAATACAGCAATTAACATGCTCTGATGCTAAGGAGTTCTACTCCCCCTCCCCACCTGAAAACTGTTCCAACTGCCAGTTGCCTCACCTTCCGTTACCTCAGTTCAAACCGGCAGACATTCCACTCCTTTGCTCAGCACTCCTTTGCTCAGGAGCGGCCTGAGGCTCCTTACAGTACTAAACGTCGGTACCTCACCAAAATGTCTACACCTTCCACCTAAGGAACTGCTTTTGGACTCAAGGTGGCGGGAGCAATATTCCCTTATGTGTTTCAATCATCAACCACTGCTGATTCAACTGATTGTGAACCGGATTTCTCCTGCATAGCCCGATCACATAGTGTCGTCGCGAAGCACGGGTATCCAGCTAGTTTTTCATAAGTCAGCCCAGGCTCCACCCAAGGTAGTTTAGGAATGCCTATGACAGGTAGAACATGTAGTAAGACTGCTAAAAGAGATAATGCATGAAGATTCAAGCCGGAGCATGTTCTCTTTGTAGGAAATCCCTGGCATTTGAGTGGCAGATTTAAAGTTATCAGTTTGTGCCTCAACTTCTAAGTCGGGGTAACAGATAACATATTATCAGAGTTGGAAAGGACCTTGTAGATCATCTAATCCAATCCCCTGCCCAAGCAGGAGACCCTACACCATTTCTGAGTGGGTGGGCAACTATGGGCCCATTATGACCTGTGGACTTCAATTCCCAGACATAGTTACTCACCCCTGCTCTAGGTGTTAAATGTATACTTTGGCCCAGGGACCTATTAATTATGAAACTTTGCTACCATACAGTTCCCCAGTTCTTTACAAAGCAGTGTGAAGCCAACCTGTTGTTGTGGTTCTCCGGCAGTAGGTGTGGATGGCTGGGGTCTCGGAGAGCGAGGACTCAGATGAGGGGCCTGCTTGTGAGGCAGGGATGGGGCCAGGACCATCAGGGAGTGGAATGCTGCCTTCGGAGATTGTGGAGGATGGCAGCAGTGATGAAGAGCTTCCCGAGGAGCCCGTGCACAGTGTGCTCGAAGGAAAGGGCAGCTGCAGCAGCATGAGCAACTCTGGAGTAAGTCTGCAAGTTAATGGCCCCTTCCTTAAGAGATAAAAGCCAGCTGAGAAACCGGAGTTCTTTGCAGGAAGCAAAGAAATTTTTGCACTCAAGCCTTGTGAACATTCGGGATATCTTGGTTGGTGTTTGGAGACTCTTTGTGTTTGAAATATTTCTTGGCAACTTTATCTAGTGTTCTTGGCAGCCTTGCACAACCTTGTCTTATCAGAGACAATTAGTTTGAAACAGCCTTTTAACCGTGAAGGAACAGAATTCATAAAGAATTATTAAAAGGTTTTGCTGTTACCTCCATTTTGTGTTTGTTTCCTTGGAACAAGGTTTGGGTCAGAACACCTGTTTTAGATTACAAATTACAGATTATCAGAGTTGGAAGGGACCTTGTAGGTCATCTAGTCCAACCCAATTCTTCCAGTCCTGAAATATTGAGAATAGACAGCAGATACCAACAATCAGGGCAACAATCTGAGCATTACAAGAGCCCAAAAGAATAAAATATTGTCCAGGAGCAATAAAAAAATCTCATACTCATCTTCCTGCCACCTCGGTTATCCATTTTTCCCCCCCAGTTCGTGTCATTTAGGTCGTTTCCCAAAAATATTCTAATGGTTGTTATGGGGGATGTGGGCTGCAAAGACACCGTTATTCCATTGCCCTTCAGTCTGCACTGAATGCTTTCATAGGTTCGTACAACTAATGCTTTTGCCAACAAAAGTTGCATACATCCAGTGCCGCTGAGAATGCTGCAGATCTTCAGCCTTGGTTTTTGTTATTGCAAAAGAGCAGCCTTAAAGATCTGTTCTTCCACTAAACCAGACTAGACCTCTGGACCTTATTTTGTGCAATTCTTCAATGATCACCCATATTCCTGATTGAAGACTGATAGCTGTTGTAGTTTGCGGTGTCTTGAAGGCATTTCACAATAGGATGATATAGTTACAGCCAAGAGCCACTAGGTGTCCTGTGCAACTCAGCCAGGAATCCCACTAGTTCTGAATTTGCAAAACAGGAGAAATCTGCTTCAATTCAGCTCCTTGTAGGATGCCTTTGCCCAAGGAAATTGTGTAAGGTCTGAAAAGAGATAGAAATCAGAATTTTATGAGAAAATGAGATGAAGAGGACAGAGTATATTAACTGTACTTAATCAA